TTTGTTGGAAATTTTGAATGTTTTACTGCATTCTTTTGTTTTTGTTATTATTGGATTGATAAAGGCGTACCTTTTTATTCATTTATGTTTACTTTTGAAAAATTCGGCACTGATCCTCTTACTCCATATACTACGGATGAATTATTATTAATGACTAATACGGCACAATCAGTTTACTATTGTTCAATGTGTCTTTTTCAATTTTTTAATTTTTTTGCTACACGTACTCGGTATTTGTCGATTCTTCAACATAATCCCGTTTGGGGTAAAGGTCAAAATTTGTACATATTCGGTGCAATGCTTATTTCGATTGGTATTCAATTACTTCTAACACAAATTGGTTGGTTCAATCGAGTGTTCGGTACAGGTCCAGTGCCAGTCAAATATGTTATGCCAACACTTGGATTCGGCATGCTCTGGTTAATAATTGATGAATTAAGAAAACTTTACGTACGCAAATATCCACGTAGTTTTATTGCACGAATTGCTTGGTAAAAGACATTCACAATTTGTTTTTTTTTTCATTTTATTCAATATGAATCTATTTCATCGTCTTAGAACTTAGTTAGACTAATAAACTAAAAACAGCAATTAACTTCATTTAAATTTCATATATGTTCGTCTTTTTATTGTATTCGTTATTAGTACATAAAAATAGAAATTTATCCAAGTTGAAGAATCTTGTTTTAGTTGAATTTGATTTTACATTGCTTGGAGGGATTATATTATGGTTTCATGTTGTTCTCAAATAAATAGAAAATATCATTTTTCTATTATGAGTATATACTACTGAGTATTTCTAGTATCGATCATATAAAAATCTTCTTTGACAATTTCTTCTATGATTTGTATTTTAATTGATAGATTAATCAAAAAAGACCTTTTTCTAATGATTATTATTATCTTTAAGATAATATTGATAATTGTTGGTCATGCTTAATATGTATTTAAAGTGTTGTTATCAACTAATAATTATGTTCAAGCATTATCAATGAAACTTTCATATTAGTACAAAAAGTATAATTTTACGTAATATAAATCTAATACACACTTTGATTGCAAACAAAATATCTATGACATAACTTCTATTCTACTGTCAAGTTAAGAATGACTTGATTTGATTTGTTCATTTCTGTATGAATGTGGACTGGTATAGATTTGTTAATAACAAAATTACGTATCGTGAGTAAAACTATAGTCTGTTCAAGAAGTCCGTGTGTGTGCCTGTTTGTTGAATAACTCAAGAACGGAAACAGCTAGAGACCTGCGATTTTCACCAGTCGAAGAAGGTGACACGTGGACGTCTTTTTCTTCGATATTGTACAAGACGAATTCATTTTATAATCAATCATTTCCTCAAAACATTGGAAAATATGCTTGATAACGGTCTATTATTTCGATGAGATTTTAGTTTTAATATGTGATCTGAATAGAGAGACTTCAGATCTATAACTTAAGATATCATTTAAATGATTATCTTCACACCTTCAAATATTAAGCAAATACAATTCTCTATTTTCTCCCTCGAAAAATACGAATTTCTCTTGAATTTTCTTACTTTTTATTAAAAATTTCATCTCAACGACAGAATATTTTCGTATATTTTTTCGATGTTTTGTAAAAATGGTTGATTTTACAATGACTTCGTCTTATACAATATCGGAGAAAAAGACGTCCTTATATCACCTCCTTCGATTGATGAAAGCCGCAGATCTCTGGCTATTTGCATTCTTGAGATATTCAACAAACAGTCACATGCACGGATTTTTTGGACGGACTATAATAAAGAAGCTATAAAATTCTACTGATAAAGATAAATATTAATTTGATAGAACTTTGACTTGATTACAATAAACAAGATCTGTAATAAATATATACCAAGAAATAAATAAATACAAGAAGAATTGAACTACTCTATGAGACTCATATACAGCTCATTGTTATAATCTATAAAAAAGATATTGAAGATACTAAAAAATTCATTCTTCTGGTATCAATCGTTGGTATCCTAATTCATTTAAAAAATGAAGGAAATATGTAATAATCATCAGAATAATACAATTGGTGGATCGAGTATCTACAGCAGTATCTAGACATCTGTACAAAATTAATGAATAAAAGAAGATAATTCATGTTCGAGTGTGGTACTAGCAGAAAGAATTGTATATATGCACTATTCTAATAATTTTGTAATTAATAACTTTAACTATCTATTATTAATTTGAAATTATTTAGAAAATTTATAAGAATATTTTCTCAATACAAATGTAATAATGATGCAATACGAAATATAGAAAATCTAATATAAATTTGGAAAAAAATTTCTATAAACTTATTGAATAATAAATTATAATAATAACATTGATATGATGATTACAAATGCTTATGATTATCTATAGAAAAAAAACGTCAGGTATATTGATTCTATCCAGAATCACAATTTCATATCATATTATTAGTAAAATCTTCAGTTCAATATATTTTTCTAATTTATAACTGAGAAACGATACTCTATGATATATTTGAACATCAAGTATCTGTTTATTTTTTTAATTTTATCATCAAAAAAAAAGTGAGTACATGACAGTTTGATGATATTTCGAATGATTTTCTAGAACTTTTATCAAATAACTTTGACTTTGTCGTAGACTTGTTGGGAAGTTATCATCAACATTCTTTTTTACCAAAAGATACATCTATTGACATTCTACAAAACAATATAGAATTTACCTTAGACTCTTGAAAATTAACTGCATAACAGAAAAGAGAATGGTAAAACAAAGAATGTAAATTAGACCAAAAAAAAAATGATCGATTTAATTTATTATAATGAATTTTTTTATTTAATAAATTATTTAATGTGATATATGAAATATATTGTTTTGTAGAACAGATTCGGCTCCATCAATTGATATAATTTGACAATGGATTTTGTCAAATTTTTGTGAAAAGAAATTCATAAACAAAAATAATTGGAAAAGTATAGTTTTTGACAAACAGAGATTTTGGATGAAATCTATTAAATGAACAAATGTATTAGAAGGCAATGTCCAAAAATAATCCAAATTGAATTTTTTGAGTAGTTTTTTTATGTTCTTTCAAATTATCAAACTCATTTAATAAACTAAAATTTTTCAGCGACTGGGTTTTACTATTTTAGATGGTGATTTTATGGGTCCTCTCTAACATATTAACTCATTTTCAAATTGTAGTTGAACAAATAAAAACATTCTTTAGTCATACACATTTTTATTTTGTTATTGATACTTATCGTAGAAAAATAAATCAATGCCATGAACGAAAGGTTTGTTATGCTGAAGTGATTAATAGTTTAATTCTATAGATTTAGTTTTCACTATTGATAATTGATTCACTGAATTTCATGTGGTTTATAAAGTCTTCTCTTCAAATCTGTCTATCAAGCTTAAGTTTCGAATAGCATCCTCTAGTGAAAATACTCATCAAGCGAGTACGATTTTCCAGTGTGAGTACTCACATTACTCACTCGACTTTTTTGATGAGTCATTTATACGATTAATATTAATGGTGACCTTGAGAAAAAAACGAAAACGATTTTTTTTTGTTTTCATTTATTAACTTCTCGGGTAAGGATAAATTCTTATATAGGATATCTTTGGTTAAAATAAAGGTTTTTAGATTGATTATGAAATGCGATGAAACGAAGGACAACAAACAACTTTCGTTATAAATCGATCGCGATTTTTAAGTAAGAAGATGTGTCAATACACTATAGACAAAAAGTTTTTTTTAGTTTGTATTGATTTATTTTTTTTTATAAACAGTTATCAATTTAAGAATATGTGTGTATGTTTTTAATGTTTAGTGTGTTGAGTCATAATATACGTTTATTTTCTATCACATTTTTAATTGTTATTAAATAATTTATTATTTTTTCTGCCTGATTGTTCTTTTTTACTGTTCCCAATTCATGTTTTATTGTATTCTCATTCTTGACGATCTACACAAAGAAATCTTCATTATTAAAGAGGATTGTTGGATATTTTCTTTTTTTTTCTGAGTAACGAAAATACGGTTTTCTTGATTTTTGATTGAAAAAACAGCACATAAAATCGTGTTTTTATTGTATCAAAATACAGATAATATTTAACTTTCTTTGCTAATGATAAAAATTTCTATGTCAGTATTCTTTGTGTTAAAATGTATCAAAATGATGTCACACTTATATTTCTTATTTTGATTATTTTTCTCAAACTTCTATTGGGTGTACATATGTTTCTTGTTATAAATTTGATATTAAATAAAAATTAATGTAGTACACCGGTACTAACCAAAAAATGCGCTTATGAGTATTTTTGTTTAGATCAGCGAAATACATAAAATTACATAGTAGTACTACCAAAACACTCAATATTACATGGCTAGTACTCAATCGTCTTACCCAAATACTCAGATTCGAGTACGAGTACGACTGATAAGTACTCAAAACCCATGAGTACTCGCGGTCTTTTTCCAGCGTGAGTATGACATGAGTACTATCCTCTGAGTCCTTTGACTAGGATCGACTATTGCTTGTACGATTGTCTCAAAATTGAACACATTTATATTTTGAATGGCATTACAGGAATAATTGCAAGATTGCTGTTCTTTTAAAACTCA